CCAAGAAGACTACGAGTGTATCCTTAAGCAGGTACAAGAAAATTTTATTAGTGTTATAATATCAATTTCAATCATGACTTTGATAGGAGCACACATGAATTGGAGCGAAAATTTTTGCACTTAAACATATCCATTTAAAAATCAAAATTCATGAGTTACAAAAAGATAAATAATAATAATAATAATAACTAGTAACATTAATTAATTTATTCAACATTCTTTTATTTTCTAAAAAAATTCGATCTACAAGTGTTTTCCTCTTTCCGAATATGAAACTCATTATGTGCTTGTTGACAACCTTTTCCTGTACTACATGAGTGATGAATGCATGTATTTATATCTTGTTGCAAAATATAGAATAAGTATGACAATAGTTATAAAAGAATAGGTTCAACGTGAACATGATAAAAACAATTGGGAAGTAGACTTTTTTTCTCAACAAAAGCTAACGTCCATAAAAGAAAAACTTGGTCAAATAGTAATCAACTAATGCTATTAAAAGGTTAAATAAAACCAACACATTAAAGAAATAAGGAATTACAAAACTTTAAAAGTGAAAAAAAAAATTATCATGATTTCTTATTACTATTGAATTATATGACACATCAGGTTCAACACAATTTATTATCTTTATCTATGATCATTGATGTTTATTTATATGATAAATCTCGTCCAAAACAATTTATTTTCTTTATCTATGGTCATTGATGTTCATCTTCAAAAACAAACAAAACAAAGTTTAGTAAGTAATAACTCAACTTTCATATTAGTGGCATCTAAAGTATATTATCTATTTCCATGATAAATATTTTTATAAAGAGATTCTAAAATAGAAATTAAAACATATATTAATTATTATTGAAATTACATCAAGATCAATATTAATAAGTGATAAAATTAAATAATAATAACTGAAATAAAATAATAAGAAGTTTTATAGAAGTTTGAATTGAAATATGTTAGTTGTTATCCTTAAAAAGAAAGCGTCTCCAGTAAATTATATTATTTTGTAATACGTTCATTTAGTAGATTATTTTATATTGCGTTGTTCTCCCAATATATTAGATTAATTATGTAGAGTTAAGAATTTTGGAACTAAAAAATACCATTCCAAAAATATATTTAATAATAAAATTAATTCTTAAATAAGAGAGATAATTTTATTATTATGTTGTGTCACGTATATCTATGTTATTTCTATTCTCTATAGCACCCATATATTTATAGACTTAATAGTGCACGTTACCACAATACTTAAATCATGCAACAAATCCAAAACAACCGTGCAGCACTGTAGCAACCAATTTTCTAACGTGCACAACAATAAAAACAACAACGTACATAACAGTAAGAACTGGTCAAATATATTAAACCCTTAACAAATTATAAAACGTTAAATAAATAATTAAATAAAATATTGTAGCAGAAAAGTAATTAAATAAAAACATTTAATTAAAATTCAAATTATAATAAAATTTCCAACATATACATATATCTATTAAGCATGTTTAGGTAACACTTGTTTGGTAACATTTATTATCAACAATAGTCCACACTATTAATGATGATGAAGCCAAAACAAACACAAGAAAACAAGAGGGTCCCCATAATGTATGGATGATTCATGTGCTTCTATGGCGCATGTTTGTACTTTACTAGCTTAGAATTATTACAAAAAGATTCTGAAATAAATGACTCAGTTAAGGGATGTACCTTCGAAATCAAATGAAGTTTTTCTCCTGATTTTGTGTTGTTGATGGGGAAATACTACTTCCTATAATTTTTTTATATAAAAAAATAAATAATTAATTCATTAAGGTAGTTGATCTTAATTAATAATATCTTAAATTTAATTTTTATTTTAAAAATACCTTTTGAATAAAATGATTTAAATAATAATTATATTTAATCACATTACATTTACACCCATAAATGTCCCTTGTGTTATTAATAGATCTTAATAAATTCATTCACTACCTCCAATATAAATACTTCGTCCAATACTATAATTACAAAAAAAAAATATAAGTATTTTATTAATTAATATATTTTCTTATAAATGAAGGGGATAAAAATAAATTAATAATTAATACATTTTAAAATAGGTCTATATTCCTTATAATTTGATTAAAAGAGTATTCAATTATTTCTTATACAATGGACCCAAAAATATCTTTTGAGTGCTCGATAATTATCAGTTAAGTGCTTCATGATCTCTGGGTATTTGACGAATATTTAAGAGATAAACATACATATAAAAAGGTATATGTAATTGAGTGACAATATTTTGTTATGTGTGTCAGTTAATTAACATATAATACAAATAATTTTAGTGAGGGTTACAAGAAAAAGGATGGAGAATGAAGGTTGAGAGGAGACAGGAAAAAGGGAGCTGAGAAAGAAGAGAGGAAAAAAAGTTGCTAAGTTTTACTGTAATAAAGTTTTGGGATAGTAAATTGTTCTAGGCTTTGTTAGGAAACAAACTTCTATATTTTTAACGTTTCATTCTTCTTGTCTTTTGTCTCATTTTGTGATTGTTTTAAAATTAAAAATGTAATAAGTATTCTTTTATAATATATTTTATTTCTTTTAACAAATCAAATAGACCTTCATCTTTAAATACAAAAAACTGGACTTCCTATATATTTAAAATCTGTACATTTAGATATAATAATATAGTAGAATGTCTAAAGAGTATTAGAGAAAATTAGGAAATAAGAACGCATTTTAAGTGTTAATTATTCATGTGTGTGGTGTTCATGAAATTGCATAAATATTTTCTATTTTTTATTTGTTTCTACAACAATCTCTTTAACTATTTAAAAAAATATCACACATGCGTGTGGCGTTCGTAAAGTTGTATAAATATTTTTTATTTTTATTTTTATTTTTAATTTTTGCAACAATCTCTTTAAAAACATTATAATGACTTCTATAAGAGATGTTATTATAAACATTAACAAAGAATAAGAGTTGTCAATATTACATAAAAACCTAAGCACTGTTAGCCTAAATTATTTTACTCATCCATCTTTTCA